CAATGGGAAGAAAAAATATGTAAAAGTGCTTTAGCATAAAAGTGAAAAAATACAACAAAAAGTAACAAAATGTTATTGTATCATTATAACAGTGAACAATTACAATTCTATATATGTTTATCAAATGCAAATATTATTCACGTACTTTTTTTTTTAACCCAGTGTATTTTGTATAAATGAGTCCCATATTTCATTATACTTGTCTATACAAACTCTACATCTATATGCAATATGTTCATAAGTAGCAAGTGTAATCCATTGACTAAATGGGGCCATACATTTATTTTTCCAATGCTGCAATATCAGTCTTTTGCCCACAGTAAGGGCACAGAGAATCCATTTATGTCATCCTGTTGTCAAGTTCCATGTACAAGTTATATAGTTCAAAAGAATATTATCTTCTGAAAATGTTAGCTTTTGTCACACGATCTTATTTACTGTATATATTACTTTCTCCCAAAACTTAATAAGTATAGGACATTGTAGAAACATATGCTTTAAAGAGGCATTACCCTTATTACATCTCCCACAAAATACTGTTTTTGACAATCCTTTTCTATACAGACACAGTGGTATTCAAAAAATTCTAAATAAGTTAGGAAATCTAGTTAACAAATTGTAAACAAGGTTGTTGGTTAAGAACCTGTCCCAATGATGAAGATATATATGAAATATATTAAAAGCACTTTTTCAAGCTGCAACCATTTTCACACTTGAAAATAAGTCCCTTTCAAGAGAGTTGGATTTAACCCTGACATGTAAACATATAGAGGTTTCTCTATTAATCAACCTTCAAAAAGAACTCATTATAAGGTCAGTGGTAAAACCATTTCCTCTTTATATCTAGAATGTTAGTGACTTTTAGAAAGCATTGTGAGTATTTTCTTCATTGCTTCCTTTACTTCTTTGTTCCTTAAACTATAGACAATGGGATTAACCAAAGGAGTGAGCAGAGTGTAGAACAGGGAAAACAGTTTCTTCAAGTTACTCAGTGAACTTAAGTTTGGTAAAACATAAACAATGATCAGAGAGCCATAAAAGCAACCAACCACTGTGAGATGACAGGAACAAGTTGAGAATGCCTTTTGTTTTCCTTTTATGGATGGGATTCTCAAAATGTTCTTAATGATGCAAACATAAGAGGTCAAAGTTATAATAAATGGAGCCAGAGTTCCTAAGAAGGAGATAATGAAAGCTATAGTTTCCACCAAAGTGGTATCATCACATGAAAGCCTTATCAATGGGATCAGATCACAGAAAAAATGGTTAATTTTGTTGGGTCCACAGAAACTTAGCTGAGATACCAAGTATATGATAAAACTGATAAACAATGAACCACTTATCCATGACCCAGTAATAAGCACAATGCAAATTTTGCTATTCATAAGCATTGCATAATGCAATGGTTTGCATATCGCTAAATAACGGTCATAAGACATCACCGCCAGAAAATAGCATTCTGTAGTTGCAAGATACCCAAAGAAATAAAGTTGTGCAAAGCATCCACTAATAGAAATGGTGTTATCTTCACTCAGAAACCTGGCTAGCATCCTCGGCATGATGATACAACTGTAGCAAGTCTCCAGGCAGGACAGGTTTCCCAGGAAGAAATACATGGGGGTGTGAAGCTGTTGGTCAATGATCACCAGAAGAATTATGAGAATGTTCCCAGTCATAGTTACAAGGTAGATGGGTAGAAAGAGTATAGAAAATAAAGCCTGAAATTCCCTAGTGTTGAAATCAAGAAGAATAAACATCACAGGAACAGTCTGATTTTCTCCACCTGGATTGTTTTTTACAGACATCTAAATAAAAAGAAACAGCAACAATGAATTTCACAGGAATTATTTTAAATTATCATTTTCTTAGGGCCTTTGCTTGAAAATATCAAAAATTAACTTGGAAGTAGTCAATAGTGAAGTAGGTCATTGTATTCTTGGTTTTTAGTGGAAGCCATTCCAACTGATATATACAATTAATTTAGTTTCTCAGTTCTGATTTATGTATGATGAGAATGAATGCAGTTCTCTCAGGAGCTCATAAACCTAGAATATAGCTGAGGGCAAAGCAAAAGAAAGAATAAATAAATCGCACAAACAATTGCTGGACACAAGAATCACAGAATGAATTTTAAATTTCTGGGAAAGATTGCTCTCCCACATTTTATTTTACCATTTCTGACTATTTCACAACAAGATACACCAATTTGGAGCTCATCACAGATTAAAGGATAGATCTATATCTATATCTATATCTATATCTATATCTATATCTATATCTATATCTATATCTATATCTATATCTATATCTATATC